CCCGAAACCCGAAACCCGAAACCGGAAACCCTAAACCCTAAACCCGAAGCCCTAAACCCGAAACTGAGGCGGAAATGGTTCGTGAGCTGCTGCTGCACGAGCTGCAGACCGCTCGGCGACCGGAGCAGGCGGAGGCGCGGTTTGGGGATTTGTTTTTTTGGCGGCTTTAGGGGTTTAGGCTGTAGGGTTAATTTGAGGGTTTCGGGTTCAGGCTTTAGGGTTTAGGGTTAATTTAGGGGTTTGGGGTTTAGGCTTTGGGGTTGAGAGAGGCCTTTGGCTGGATTGGGGCTCAGACGCCACCGTACACGAGCATTTCAGCGAGGTTTCCTTGGAGGGACTCTAGAGATTTTAGAGCTTGAAGATTCCTGCAGAGCTTTGCTGCAGCCTTTGGGGTTGGAATATCCAAAAGTCGACGGTTTAGGGTTCAGGGTTGAGTCTAGGACATTCTCAGGTGGGTAGTTACCGTTATAGGAGCCTTATAGAAGGTCTATATACCTTATCGAAGCCTTGTAGAAGCCCTATATACCCTAAACTCCCCACCCGTAGTTTCCTTTAATTTAGGAAACCCGAAACCCTAAACCCGCTGGAGAGGAGACCTGCGCCATGGACGAGCGCTGTAAGCCAGCCAGTCTCAGCAAGGACGCTAAGGCGGCTTCCGGCGTTCTTTCTCCTTTCACACGGGTAGTTCTCTAAATTATCGCTTAAGGTTCCGTTGTTCCCCAGTGGCCAGGCGCTGTGCCCTGGCAAACCAGTCGCTGCTCTGCCTGCGCTGTGCACCGTGCCGGTGCCGCTTTGCAGGGGCTCAGGGTCTCACGTGGTGTCCGTCGGGATTTCTTTGCAGCCTTGTGCATAGTTTTTTGCGGTTGGAGTCGTGTTTCCATAGCAACATATGTGTGTGTCTGTATGTATGTATGTATGTATGTATGTATGTATGTATGTATGTATGTATGTATGTGTGTATGTGTGTATGTAGGTATGTATGTAGGTAGGTATGTAGGTAGTTATGTATGTATGCATGTATGTAGGTTTGTATGTATGCATGCATGCATGCATGTATGTATGTATATATGTATGTATGTATAGACACGCACGCACGCCAACCAGTGCATGCAAGGTTTGCAGATGTTCAGGATTTAGTTACGAGCTTACGGAATGATGGCTACGAGTTCAGGGTCTTGATGTGTAGGATTCAGTAAATGTGGATGATATGTGGGTTAAGACCTATCCCGCAGTTTAATCTGTAGTGTTTCGAAGTTGATGGTTGGCAAGGACGATTGCTCTACCCGAAGTTTACGAGACATAACCCTGAGCCCTAAACCCTAAGCCGCTCATAACTAGCGGGCCTCGCACTGCCCTGTGCCGAACTCTGTAGTCCCTGTATCATCATGCATTGACAGACGCCAAAAGCCTACTCCCATTCTGCACGCCCCTATAATGGATCCCAAAGCCGAACACCTCGTACAGTTCGGCAGCATCTAAGCGAATTCATGCCATATAGAAACAGTGCTTCTTCAGCCTAAACCCTAAACCCCCAAGCCACACAGTCCTGCGCCCACCCTAGACCCCAGAGGCCAAAGTCTGTAGGACCGTTGGGGTCTATCCTGTGATGCTTTTTGGTTGCAGACTGTTCGTTCACATTTCCTATGTTTCATTTAGCTTTCAGAATTTGTTTCTACCCTCCCAAAATTTGCAATTGAGGAACATGTTGGAGTCTTAGAATTTCGTTTTTGCCAAATAAAGTTTCCAAATTTCACAAACAAACGTTGCATCCAGGCGTCCATCCAAATCCAAGGAGGAGCTGCCACTGGGTGGCACTCAAGGACAAGCTCTGGTGTCTCAGACCGCAGCGGCTGTTTGACACGGCCGTCCATATCGTGCTAGGCCCGAGGCTAAGAAGGCTATGAAGCGCATTCTGCCTCGTGCTCCCCGCTCTTCCCAGCAGCGGCAGGTGCAGTTGACTGCGCTGCACGCAGCTGTGCAGCCAGAACTCGGTTTGCGAGTGGGTCAAATTCCGCGAAGCGGATTATCCGACTGAAGTCGGACATCAAAACAGCACAAGACAACCGCGCCCGACTCCGGGGATCCGACGTGGCCGTGAAGCGGACGCGTCAGGAGCTGACCAACCTGATCAACTTGTTGGTGAAAGTGAATAACCTTAGGACCAGAGTGGCCTTATGCGCCTCTTAAAGCTGGGAGTGCATGTTTTGGAGCAACCTTTGTGCAGCAGCATGGTCGGCATGAGTTTTCACGTTGCATGATTTGTTTTGGAAGAGAGTTTTGTAGGGTCTTTCAGCACATGGCTTATAGCAAGCTTTTCGTGTGCTGTGTGAACTTGCTCAAGAAAGCAGGACAACCAGGAAGAGCTGTAAGCAAAGCCGCGACGCCAGAGAGACACGTTCCTTGAAGTCCGGAAAAGTAGTGAACAGAGAGCCCGACCGGGACAAAGTGATGAAGCACTTCGTGCCGGGCTGAGCACGCAGGAGTATGGATTGGGCGTGGCCGTTGCCAGCCTTGTCGTGTGTGCGTTGGGCCAGGCGGAGAAGTTGAACCGGGCGATCGATGGCTCGGTCGGCATCTGAAGAGCCTGGTTCCCGAACGCGCGGATCGTCTTGGACCGTTTTGAGCGGGCATGTGTTGCTTCATGGGGTTGGGATACTGGGATTGGGCATGTTGTGTGGCAATCTGGGAGGGTGGGTCGTTTTGCATGGGCCCGATTGCAGTGACTGGATCATCTCAGGAATTTTTGGAGTTTTCGACATCTGGAAATCTCGAAACTTCCTGCAACTCCAGAAGCCTTTAACATAAGTGGTAGAAGTGTTTGACGTTTAGAACTCGAGAAACTTAGTGGAGTTTAGGAGGCGCTTGAAGCTTCGAGTTGTAAAAGTTTTAACAACATTGAAATATTTCGAAATTTCTGGGTTGCTAACTTTTTACATTTCTTTACACTGTAGTTAAGAGACAGTTTTGGACTAAATCTCGAAGTGTCCTTAATGTGAAGGTTTCAAAGATGCAGCGTTTTGGGAAGTCTAAGAAAGTTAGAAATTCAGAAGTTTCTGAATTCCCCACACCCCAAGATGCACCTACCTCCTTCAGGCTGTTCGATGTTCCAACAAGTATAGATTTCCCAGCGTCTTTGCAACTTCTTTTCGTGCAGTTTTCAAGGCTTCCCAAGCCTTTGTAATAGTTCGAGATTTCTAAATTTCAAAGGTTTTAGATTTTTGCAACTAGAGAAGCAAGAATTCTAGCAACTTGCAAAACTTCTAAGTTTCAATGAGTCTGCAACGCTTGTTTTCATTGCAACTTGACTTTAGAAACCTAAAACATGTGAACAAAAAATGTCAACAATCTTCCGCGTAAGTTTGGAAATTTAGAAAAGTGCTCTTGAACAATTCACCATTTTCCTGTGTTGCGTATTCTGGAGCCTTAGAAGCTTTATTTCCAAAACAGTTTTCGAAAGCTGCTGTTTTTAAACGGCTTCCTACACACCTCTGAATGTCTAGAATTTCTGGAGTTTCAATAGCTTACAAAAGAGGCACAATTTAGACATTCTGCTACAATTTCAGTTATAATCTTCCTTATTTCTGTGGTTGGTGAATTTCCAACATTATAGTATTTCAGCTATTTGTATCCATCACAACTCCAAGGTTAAAAACTTGCATGGTTTCTAGCTTTCAAGCTTTGGTAAATTTTAACCCAATGTTGGCAGTGGAAGGTGTGAAAGTTTGATGCATGCTGAAATCTCAATAGTGTACTCGCTTCGGGTGTGAACAATATTCAGGTTTTCATATAGCTAGTGCAAGAGCGAACAAGACTGAACTACTCTAAAAGACCAACTGGCATCGTCAGGCCTGGCGGCAAGCAGCCGTGATCTCCATGCAGATCCATCAGCTTGGCATGTGTTTGCTCGGCCGAACAATGCCATCCTCATCGGGAATGAACGCAGCGTCGACACGCATCCCCTTCATCATCCGACCAGGCGCATGATAGATGTTCAATCTACGACACCATTGCTCAGGGCTGCCGCCTTCCAGCTGCAGCTCCCCATGTATGTCGGAGAGTATTTTACGTGGGACAGGGGGCAAGCTTCACTACAGTCTTGCTGTCGCATGGCCAATGTCTATCACCACACAACGGAAAAGAATCTCGAGCACGGCAAGATGCACCCCACACAGGAGGAGTGGCGTCCAGTGGTCGTCGCATCCCGACAGTAGCGCACTATCTGCGAGCATGAAAGGCAGTCCGTGCATGGTCCAACCGCGCATCGTCCTGGCGCTTCGCAACTTCCTGCCGCTGTGCTGTTTCCGGTGGCTTCTTGCACTTTCGTGGCGAAGCACGGAGTCTTGGCCAACAGTTCGAAAAACAAGGGGACAATAGCTTCGGCATGCATCCTTGGGACAAGACAAAAACATGCGAAAAAGGGCATCTACCCGCTGGAGAAGCCCCTCTCATCAGGATAGAGTGTCTTGCGGTCGTGGCTTCCGTGTAGAGACGATTTGCAGCGCGTGGCAGCAGTGCCCAATCGGATGATGGATGATTTACGTGAGTTCTGTTCAGCGCAGCGTTTTCTCAACGATCGGAGTGGGAGTGCTGCAGGAGCAATGCCGGCCCATGATACCTGCCGCGAGGATATAAACCTTTGTTACCGATCGTCACCACGAGCAAAAATTCATGCATGGCCAGGGATACACAGGCCCTGCGCCAATCCACCTGTGCATCGAGGTTCTGAAACTGCAAATTTTGCATCTCAACAAGAACCAATCACATAACGTTGCTTTGTGCAGGCCCACGTGCCGACAGGTTCATGATGCTGCAGTGTTGACTCGTGCAACGAAAAGACTATTCTAGACGGAATAGAGACACCCTTATACTGGTGTTTAGAGTTGGCTGATGATTCGAATCTCAGCAAGGCTTCACTTCCTTCACATGAGCGCATTGAAAAATAGAAAAGAAGATTAGTTACTAGTTGAGAAGTCAGCGCAGAGAAGATTTGCAACAGCACAATGAGCAAACGTGAAGGGCGAGAACGCCTCTCATTCTTCTTCGATGTGACTCCTAACGTCGTGCTACCTAAACCTTAAACCCTGAACCTTCAACCCTAATTTCTAGACTCTTTTCCTTGAGTAATGGTCAGGTGGATGGTGGGTCAGTGGAGATCCTTCAGGCGCCTCGGCTCTTCCGTTGTGTAGGGATGGGGTCCATACAGCTTTTCGGGAGTATTGGTCGGTCTTTCAAAGGGTTTCGTAAGGGTTCTGCAGAGTTCTATCCCTAAAGGTTTGTTCGAATTCTGCTTGGTGGTTTTTTGGGAGTGGTTCTTTGCTTTCAAAAATCCCTCCCATCGATTGCCAACCGCGAGCAAAACCCGCCGGGGGGAAATCCCTGCGACGAACCGCAAACCCCAACATCAGAAGAGCCCCCTCCGTTGTCCTGGCAGCCAGCCTTGTGCACCTACCGCGAAATCCAAAGTTGCAGACCCTGACACAGCCAATCCCCTAAGCCCAAAGCCCAGAATCCTCTTTCCCCACCAACCTACGCCAAAACCCAAACCCTAAAAACCTGAACCGTCGAACCAAAAAAAAAAGGTAACACCCTATAACTTTAAGCCTTACCCTAAGTCCTCAAACTCTTAAGTTTAGACCTTATTGCCTTAAGCTCTTTCCTTCTGAGCCGAGGAAGCCTTCCTCAAACGACGGGATGTGTCCGACCTTTCGGAAAACAAGGAGGATTTCATCACCAGCTCACGGCTTGACCGTTAGCTTAGCCTCGGTTGTAAGGATTAGGGTTTTGGGGTTTGGATTCTGAGCCGGGTTTCAATTTTGTCGGTCCGAAGATGTTACGGGTTTTCTAAACCAATAATAGTTTTCCGGGCCCAAACGCATGGTAACTAGTGATGCAAGCATGTGATCTACATCTTCTTAGGTTTGAGTTTCAGGTTTGGGGTGATCTGTGAATTCTATTGTCTATTGGTTTACATACGGGTTGTCCTCTACTGAGGTTCTTGTTTGGCCAGTTAATTGCTCTGTCATAATCAAGGTGCTTCATTGGGTTGCTCATCATCTTGGCTTTTGCCTTGCATAAGCTTGTGGTTAGCGGAGTCGGCCCTGCCGCTGCCTACCAGAAGACTCTTCTTCAGAAGTCCTTTCCAGTCGCTGCAAGCGTCGCCACCCTAAGCCCCGCGCCCCAAACGGCAGGAATCCCGAGGGTATGCCCGAGGGATTTCCAGCAGAGGAAGCTCAGTGAGTGGCGCAACCCCTAAACCCGAATTCTTGTTGCTCTGCTGTTCAGCTTGGGCCTGACAGCGGAGATGATCATGACGAAAACTGTTGCGATTCAGTGTAACCCTCCTCTTCCCTTCCCTTCGCTTCCCTTCCCTGCCCTTCCCTGCCCTTGCCTCCCCTCCCCTCCACCTCTCCCCCCTCCCCTCCACCTCTCTCCTCTCCGCTTCTCTTCTCTTCTCGGGGACAGTCACAGATGCCACAGATGCTGCTCCTAGCCTCCCACGATGACTGTGGGTTTACAACATTGTTACCATTCTTCTTGAGATGGCGAGTCTGTGGGCCCGAGCACCTAAACCCTAAAACCCCAAACCCCCAAAGCCCTGAACCCCTAAAACCAAAACCCTAAACCCTAAGCCCTTAAACCCTAAATCCTGAACCAGCGCCCCGTCTGAGGCTTCCGAAAGCTCTCGCACGACTGCGAGATGCTCGCCTATCTGGAGGCCACTAGGGTTAGGGTTTAGGGTTTAGGGTTCAGGGTTTAGGGTTTGGAATTTGAGGCTTTTCGACCCGTGAGGTGCTGATGAAACCCGTATAGCAACTCGTACAGAACCACTTTAAAGCTTTATGGCACCCTTCAAGGGTTTTCAAAAGACCCTTGAGGCCCCGAGCCTTATTTCTCAGACCTGACCTTAGCACAACAGATCTTACTTGTTAAGCAGCTACATAAGGAAGCCATCAAAAAGTGTTGGTTCCTTATGGTCCGCGCGAAACTCCAGATCCCAAGCCTAAACCCCAAGGTCTAAACCCCCAAACCCGAAACCGCAAACCCCAAACCCAGAAAACCCTTGCCAAGTTAGGAGCTCGGCCACCTGCAACCGCCGCAGCAGCTGATCTGAACATGGCCTTCGGAGGGCTTTGAAAGTGTCCTTTCGGGCTAAAGCTTTTTTCTGCAAGGGTTTAAGAAAGGGTCTAGAGGAGTTTTCTATGAGGGGTTTGCAAGGGTTATAAGAGTGGGTCTGGTTCGATTGTAATCTGTCCATCGACTTACGCATTTATCAATCTCTCAATCCGTCGTACCGGAAGAAACTGTGCATGCGCCAATGCACCCGAAGCTGCTCAATCCGTCTGTCTGCCTGTCTGCCTGCCTATCTGTCTGTGTATTTATCAATAAATCTATCTATCTATCTGTCTATCTATTTATCTATCCATCTATCCATCTATCCATCTATCCATCTATCTATTTATCTATCTATCTATCTATCTATCTATCTATCTGTCTATCCATCTATCGATCGATCGAAAGATCTATCTATTTATCTCTCTGTCTGTCTATCTCTCTACATATCTATTTATTTACCTATCTATCAATCAATATATTTATTTACCTATAGTTACCTAGCTACCGACCTACCGACCGACCTCCCCACCTACCGACCTACCGACCTCCCGACCTACCGACCCCCTACCTACCCATCTGTCTATCTGTCCATCCACGTCTCTGTCTGTTTGTCTGTTTGTCTGTCTGTCTGTCTGTCTGTCTACCTACCGAACCTAGCTAGCTAGCTATCTCCTGTATGGTCATCTGCATGTGCGTGTCGATTTCTGCACATCTACCTACAAATATTTCGGGGTAGACTGATGGAAGGTTTATCGTCTCTCGTCTCGGAAGTTGCAATGTCGCGGGGGTTAAATATTGCGACGTGTCACGGCCTTGTAGATTTCCTTCCTGGAAGGGCAGGAACCGAAACCGAACTTGGAAGCACCCCAATTTTCACCCCGAACCCCTAATCGTTTTAAGGCCCCTAAAGTGTACCCTTAAGCCCACAACCATCAGCCCTAGACCTTGTGTATAATATATACACACAATATAAATAGATAAGCAAACAAACAAGAAATATATATATATATATATGTATACCTATATCTATCTATCTATCTATCTATCTATCTATCTATCGATCTATCGATCTATCTATCTATCTATCTGTCTATCTATCTATCTATTAATCTGTCTATCTATCTATCTATCTATCTATCTATCTGTATACATATATATATATATATAATATCTATATCTATATATATATATATATACATAAACCCAAAACCCTAAATTCTAAGTCGCCAAGTTCGCCCTTGTGCTGGGCTCTCCACGCGGCCTCGGCGAAGAGCTACGCTGGGCGCCCGACACAGGCGATCTCTCGAGGTATGGGGGGACCCCAAACCCTAAACCCTAAACCCTAAATGCGAACAGACCTCGATGCCTCTCACAATCATGAGGTATCGCGT